CGTCCCTCGACAGCCATCTCATCCAATATCTCGATGTACTCCTGAAGACACTCACCGACCAAATGATACATTTTGCGCATCTTTCCCGACGTAAATGTGGGACTTATAATACTTCGCAACCGTTTCCAGTCGTCGCCCGTCGAGTAAAACACGTTTTTGTGGAGCACCGGGTGTTTATAGGACCGACCCTTACGGTCGGCGAATACGTGAAAGTCTTTCACCAGTACTTGTTGTATGAGCTCTGGTTTGGCAATTGTGATGACCGGCTCATCCATGTTGAACGTGCTGTAAATTATTGATAATTGGATTAAATATATTTAATTATTATGGTAAATTGTCTATGTAAACTAGTTAATTTAAATAACAGTTATTAACCCGTAAATGTTTCCGTATGTCTTAAGCCATTGAGTGTCCAATATATGCGTTGGTTTGAAAAATTGATACAAATCGGTGCCAACCCATGGGTACGGTTTGGGCCCTTTTATACCACGTTTAGTCCAGTATTGAAAATTCCGTGTTAATTGCCTTTTAGTACGACAAATAATTGTTTAAATGGAGGATAAATGTTTATTTACATTTATTTTACATGTATTATTAAGTTATAATTTTAAAGATGTATTAATGTTTATAATTAAAAAAATTAATTTACATAATTATAAAGTATATTAAAATTGATTTTCAAATACCAATAGATTAGTGGTATAATTGATAAGAATGTGATCGGCAAAAGCCATGGTATATCCCGTATGTAATCCATGTCTTAAACCATAACAGATTTTGTTATAACTTATTAATATTAATTTACTTATATCAATATGGTTTGTGTGGTTATTTAATATTCATAACAAAATGATTAGTATAGAAGGTTTAATGATTATTAATTGATTAATTAAAAATAATAATTTATATAAGAAAATTTTAGTTAAATAATTATTTTGATTATTATAATTAGTAAATTTAGCCTACATTATAAAGTTACACTTTACATTATTTTATTATGAATATATTCTTTTAGTATTTGATTTATATCAGGCTAGTTCAAAATATAAAACTTATGGCATGCTAAGAAAGTTTAGTTACATAGGGTGAACAGTAGGTTGATTTATTTAACCAGACCATTATATTTAGCCAATACGCTTGACTCAGATAAAGCACAGGTGATACGACAAAGTTCTCGTCGTAATAGTATCGCCGCATTTGTCTCAACCCATTCTCAGTGTCCGCATAGCCCTGAAAGACAGGCATCGGTCGGCACTCGGCGTTACAGTCGCCCACATCTGGCATATAGTAGTCAAACACCGAATAGTTTCCCGAATAAAACTTCGGATAAAACGTGCGTTGAATATCGCGAGGCATTCGCTGTATGGCCGCCGGCACCGGGGGTTTCACGTTGTCTATAGTGTTGAGCACGTCTTCGACGATGGCATCGGTGACCGAACAGTAGTCTCCGAACCCAATCCAAAACAGGTGCAAAACGGGTTCATTAAAATACGTGATTTTATTGGTCTGAATGCGCGCGTTGTATAATAAACCAGTCATTTGATCCACAATTGGCACTTCGTTGTACGACTCGGGGGTCAGAAATGTTTTGCCACCAAGCTGTATTTTGGTCACAATCACGTCGGTTATATAACAGTGATATAGGTAGAATAATATGCTTGATATTTTTTAAATAATATTTGATTAAGTTTACAACTAGCTAATTGTTTTATATTGGTTTCTTACTCGTAGGGAGCGGTGGCTAAGCTCATGTCAGAGGCGTATCCAAACGCCAGGTGTACCAGAAAATGTATGCCAGAGATAAGCGTTGTAAATATTAAATAACGGACCGAGTTTTGTATGCAAATCGTAATTAACTCGGGTGAATCCCATGCAGGCATATAT